CAGAGAGGAAGACCACATCAATATTTCGCATTGGTACTTTAGGGTCACTCGCCTGCTTCTAAAACCTAGCAAGCTCGTCAATGTTTAGAAGGAGAGTCTTCCAAACGAAGCCAATAGGCTTCTATGTCCGATAGGACACATTTAGAGGAATGGTTCCTCCCATATCTTCAGGGAAGGTCAGTGATTGATGACTCATTTCCAGAAGAACTTAATGATAGGCCCTAAAAGAATAGAACCTCCACCACTTTAAGCAATAATCGTCCCACTAAAAACGTTTGGCAGATGGTCGACGCGCAGCTGAAGGACAATCGAGTCAGATCAAACTATGACGACCAAGGATGAGCTTACTATAGCCGAACAGCCCCTTCTCAAAATACTCGCTTTCAGAAACAATGAGAATGGGTAAATCTCGTACGCATAAGTTCGCAGAGCTTAAGATGGCGCATAGAAGATTCAGGCTACCGTTTGTTTTAAGATTTGACTATGGGGTATTCACTCGATGATCATGATTTCATATTGTTCACGCCGCTGACAGACCACTCGTCTAAGGCTCTTCCGAGCTGGGAGAGGAGGGCACGCCTTTGGTTGCAGATTTTGGTTGAGTCCATAGGACCCCTTCCCTTTTTAAGGGGTTGATACGACCCCTCCCCTGGTTCCCTCGTCATCGAGCTGCAGAGCTATTGGAGGGGGGGGGAGTATGTAGGGCATATAGTACACATGAACAGGAAAACGACAACAACGAGCAACTACGACCCCTTCCCCTTTACAACGTCCCTGAAACGAGAAAAAACAACCATCAAAAATACTTTTCAGATCAAATACGATCCCCTCTTCTAGCCACCGAATACGACCTCCCCTGTTGGGGGGTTCCCCAAAAACGATGTGCCTTGTGGGAGAGGGGTGTCGGCGGACCTACTAAGCTGGGACCCACAATCTTTGAAGAAATCGTGTCTGCATGAATTTCCAGTGTTGATGGTCGCTGCTCTTTGATGTGAGGAGCATACGTTGTCATTTTCACTTATAGGAAAAATTTTCAAAGTCTATGAGTCCTTCACTGTACAGTTGATAATGATCCTTTGCCATCGTGCTGTTTTTAATAAACTGATGTATTTCAATTTTACAGTGGCACGCTCAAACATCCAGTGTGTGATTTACCTCCTGCTGTTCATTGTATCGATTTCTTCTGTTAAACAGCTTCACATGTTGTAATGACATATTGGAGACTTCTGTCAATGATGGATGCAACGGCTTTGAAAGCTTCACCATCTCTACAGAAGACAGGGCATCGACGAGCCACAAAAGGTTTCAAGGTACACCTAAGATCCCTGAGATGCGGTAGGCGTGGCTGGTGGCGGTCAAGGTTTTCGTGAGATCTTTTCATTTTGGGACAGTTGAAATCATGTCGTTGCCCAACACAGAACAAGGTGACATTTGTCTAGATTGAAATATCCCGCGAGGACTCAACCTATGTCATGTTCAAATGCCACACCTACTCCATCTCAAGGATGAAGAGCGTACGTGTCCCGAATACTGGGCTAATTATCGTCTCAGTCGTTTCAATCCAGATGAGTAGCACGCCTTTCCAGGATTGTTACACTTTTATTAAACTTACTTATAGATTTTCCAGCCTTCTTCAGAGCCGGAGGAGCCTGACAAGTCAGGAAAACATAGTAATCTTGAGGTTTGTCAAGATTTCAGGCTGATCAACCCTACTAACTATAAGATAACAGTCGATCGTTAGCTGTTTTAACTCAAACTTGTTGTTCATCGTATCAATATTAACCTCTTCAGTTCTGTTTACGTGATCCTTGTCATCTCTCTCTGTCGATTCATAGCTCTTCATTTTATCAACTTCCAACCAAGTAGTTTTCAATGAATTTTCGTTTCTCTTCAACCCCGCTCGCGAGCTGTTCTGTTCATTCCCTCTATAGCGACCGTCACTCATACAAGACCGCAAGTCTTTTCGTCATCATTTTGCTGTCTGTTTTATTCTGTGAACCTCTTTCTCCAATATCTCTTTTCAGTTCCATGAAATTCTTCTCTTCAATAAACCCTTTCCTTTAATACTCATAAATTTATCATTATCTTTCATCTTCGGAATTCCTTATCTTAGTTTAATATGAATTGCAAACAAAACATATTGAGAACTACGGAAGCACTGAACACATAAAATGAAAAACTGCAAGAGTGCGAGAGTCACACCATTTCAGACCCATATTCCACTTGAGACACCAGGTGGAGAAAAGAATTACATAACTCGCATTTACATAATGAGCGCGAAAAAAATGAGCAGCAAAAGAGTGAAAGAATGTCAAGAATGATGTCAAGCCATTTGTGGCATCCATGATGAGGCGCGCGGCCTTTCCTCACTAGATCGTCGTTCTTCTGATCGGAACCTCATATCTGTCCGACTGGCTGGAGAACCCGTAGTGGCTTGGGGGGTTGCGGCTATCAACGAAGAAACGGCATCAAATTGCGACGAGATAACGCGATTCATTCGCGGATCCTGGCTCGTGACGGATAATCCAGGATTAATCCCTGAATAAGCGGGAGGTGCGTCTACAGGAAGAAGCCGCCATGCTACAACATTGCCTTCAGGAATCTGCCGAACCATTGCGTCGGCGGAGCCGCTGCACATAGGTGGACTAGCTGGACTCTCCTCATCGATTATAGGATCACCAGCTATTTGCGCCAACATTTGGCTTATATTGAATTGAGCGGATGGAACAGCGTTCGCTGCTGGCTGGTTACTCATTGGAGCTGCTGTTGAAACAGCTGGCCCTTTCTCATCGAAAAGTGGCGACGACACGGCTGCTGGAGGAGTATAGTACGGCAATCTAGGAGGCATTGCAGGGAATGGGGGTGGAGTGGGCCCGACGGCTCCACCCAGTGTAGGCACGACGACAGAAGGTGGTGCTAGTGGCCCACCGTTCGCAGGTTGTTGAGGGATTGCAGCGTGAATTGTTGGAGCCGCCGACGTTACCGGAGGGACTACTTGTTGTGGACCAGCTGGTCCTTGAGGAAGAAGAACACGTCGCTTCATAGGTGCCATGTGGTGGTTTCCCATTGCTCGACTGGCGTACATTTCATCCTCTTGGCACATTCGTTCGAAAAGTGGCCGAGTGTAATCCGTTAACGGTACGTGACTGAAGTGGCATGGATCGCGACTGCACTCTCCCTTGTGAAATGCTTTGCACGGGAATTCTCCGTGCAATAAAAGACAGGTTAGGCCCTTTTTACAGAATCCTTGTTGGTAAAATTTGCACAGTTCAGGCCGACGAAGTGAGTCTTCAGCCTGATGCGAATATGCGCAGTTATCTCCATCCCTGCAGTAGCCCTCACGGAAAAACTTGCAAATCTGATGTTCTGTTGCCCATCGTGGCTTGGGTCGAAATCCGCGAAATCCTCGACCACCATAAGGACGTTTCGGAGCACGAGGATCCCATTCATCCTGTGAGGGAGAGTGACGGCGCCTGAAATTACATGAGCATTACTCATAACAATGGGAAGAGTCACCAATGTCCTATTTTGTAGACCAAGATCAGTCGAGGACAACAAAGGCCGCAACGCTGACTCAAAGCAGCCTTAACACCCCGATAAAAAAGAGGAAAGCACGCACCTCCTACCAACGTGACCCGCTCCTTGGCGATAATCAAAGTCACCGCTCGGTTCCTCTTCAAATCGATAATCCTTATCTTCAGAACCGTATCCAAAAACGTCGCCGATTTTCTCTCCAGCAGCAGCTAACTTACTCGCCCAAGTACTTGGTGACGGCTTTGCACCATCTTCCTACAAGTGCAACAAAATGAGAACAGAAATATTAACCAAAGCATAATCGTAATATTACATAAGTAAGAAGGCTGGATGTCACCACCGAGTCCGCTTAGGTTCAGCGAAGTGTAACAGCGAAATGTAACTTAACGACAGCGCTTGAACTCTACTGGTGGGCGGAGCCAGTATACGACGTCACTGGTGTATCCCGCCTAAGAAAGCGAAAGGAGCACGGGACCGCCACTGAGGTCTTCCCCTGACCACGCCCGCCCGGCAATTTCAGGTAGTGCTTTTAGACAACCCCTCCACTATAAACGAGATTTTGTTGGATGTAGTATATTATAAAGGTTGCTCAGGAAAACCATGTTTCATATTGTAGCAACTGTAAAATGGTTCACTCGATCAAACTTCCCAGAGATTTGCTGAGATGAATTACAGTTGAAACCGTGAAAGGAGAGTGTCTCATAAAACCTACCGCCGGTCCGGTGGTGTCCTTCGGCGTTCGATTAGCTTTCGAGGAAGGAGATGTACCAGCTGTGCCTGATTGATCGATTATAGAAGCACTTTGATTCGGGCTTGACTGTCCGGTCTCGGTTTCACCTACAACAGTTCCACCTTAAAAAACCGCACTCTTCGCAATAAGTAATTATTGATCGATTCTGAAGGGAAACTGATTTGGTCGTCTCAGCACGTGAACGATGGTTATTACCATTTTCAAAAACCTGGAACTTGTTCCCAACCGGCTTCAGCGCTCCATTCTTGCATGAGATGAGGTCCCATTAAGGATTATATTTATGGTGAAGGGTCAGGTTCATCGAATTAGTTCGGGGAGAGAAAAATGGGAGTGAATCCTGGGCTGTGGGCTCGGACTAGGCGATAAAAGCCAATGGCGGTATCTTGCCAAGCACCTTCCAATAAGTTAATCAACTGTGTGACCATTTCTGTGCGGAAAGCGGGCACAGAAAATGGGCCGGGACAAATCTTATACTGAGTGTAACCAGACTTTGCATACATGTGGCAGAGTTTAGTGGTTTACAAATACTATATTAAACTTCTGATGGGGTACCAAAAGGTTAACAAAACCGAAAAAGGTAACCCGTAACTTCTGACTTCAAACATCCCAGAAATTCCCGCATTTGAAGCTGCGATGCTAGCCCAGTATAGGTCCGCAGTCCAAAACCCCGAATCACGACACACTACGACAAGGCATGATAACTCACGACATCCGTAACCAGGAGATTGCCCCATAGGATATGAAGCTCCCGAGTTCCTGGACTTTTTCTTTAGAGTCTGACGGCGTTCAGCGCCCGTAATGAGGATTTTCGATCAAGCCCAAGGAGAAGAAGCCCTAGTGAAGGTGAACAATTCCTTCGCCCAAAGGGGTTAACTGGTGGCCTTTCGGGGAAATGTTGCCCATCCAGCCAAAAGCTCCTTCCCCTGCCACGTTACGGGACGTGATACATCCTAATACTCTACACAACCGTTAACGTATTTTCCTGCGGACCTATGCTCTACTAATGCCAATGTTGTTCCCCTTTCAGTTTCGGATTGGTGGGTTTGATAGGTAATAGCTCTCCAGGTTTGTGAACCCAGCAACTGGATCCCCGTGTAGTAACACTTTTTGTTGAAATATTCGAAACTGTTTTTGCATGTGCTTTACCTCGCATTGGTTCGTCATCATCATCACAGATCTCCCCATCTTCTGGTAATTCACCATCTTCAAAACCTTCGGGTTCTCCATAATCAGCAGCAGTAGCCATTAGATCTACCATAACCTGAAAACCTCCTGGCATATCAAATACACCATCTAAGTGCACAACACGGACTAAGGCAAGCCGACTCAGGGGGAGGAGGAAAGCAATTTACAGTCTTGTTCGCTGCGGATGAAGGGGTGAGTCAGGCAATATGAGTTGGGCGCGGCGCTGAATCCGTTCTTGATCAGCTGAGGAAGCGGGTAAGCAACAACGGAAAACGACTGATAGGATCGATATAAGTTTTGTCGCTTGCTGGCTTCAACAACTGATGGGAAGCGCGTTTGGCGCCACGCCAAACCCGTTCTGCCTGATACGCCCCTCCATCCGCAGCGAACGAAACTGTAAATGACTCGTCATACAAAACTTGGATTACCGTACTGCGAAACTTTACTTGCAGAAGAAATCGCTCATCGACTTAGAGCTCACTCATTCTGAAATAGCCGGAAATTCCCATTTTCAACATGACAATCCAAGTTTGATATGGGGGCCGTTCAACAGCAGCCCCCCCCCCTCCTAGCCGACTTGCGTCAACGATAATGTTGTGTAGTCGGAATCGCAGCGAAAATTTTCATGAAAATCATGCAATTCATCATATTTCAAGTATATTATTTCTTTCCAATCAATCCCAGCCTGTCTGAAGTTGTCCACCTTGTGACTTCAACTTGTTTTGTATCAATATATCGGACCTCAAGTACATATAACACACATAACCAACTCAGTGAAGACTGCTCTTCCAGTTTCCCGTTGAATCGCACAGTTACAAATGCTATCACCAACTGCTTCCAGTGGCGGTATGCTTTACAATGAGAATGAATCCTATTGATAACACAGAAAACCGGATGGTAGAGCGAGGGATCATCATGCCTCTCCGTAGATTTGAAGATCATCAAGCGCAGCCATTTCAGCTGACATTTCAACCCTTGAGACATTGCACTGAACTATCCCCCCATTCCCTCATCTAAGACACATGAATGTTCTTTCAACCTTAGCATTGGGAACTATGAAAAGACCATACAATGGTTTCTATGAGCCACTCGATGAAATAGAAGAAGTTGAGCCAAATTCAAATGAAGTCCCATAAGTACACAATTGGCAGTGGCGCGCCATGTGTTGCACACGCTCGTTGGCTGCGGATGATGGGGCGTGTCAATAAGGCGGGGTCTGGCGCACCGTCAGCTCGTTCTCTACCAATTGCGAAGCGGGTAAGTGAACTATACGATCGATATGATACAGTATTGTCGCTTGCTCTCTTCAACAACTGGTAGGAAACTGGTTTGGCCTTGCGCCAAACCCATCCTTCAGGCAAGCCCCAGTCCTATGATCTGTAGCTAACAAAAGTGAATGCCGGGTTTTGGATTCGCAGCTGGGCACCCAGTGGAAGTAGAGTTGGTGGACGCCCACTTCGGGTTTAGTTCGGCACATCCCAGGCACGGCATACGCCCAACGGCACTATCTATGACCCAGGTCATGGCATCCTACGTCCTGTGCCGTTCATTTCTCGGCATTATCTCAACAACTCGAAAATAGATGAACTGCTTCTTCCTTCATGTTCCAAGGATCATTAAATGAGCAACCACCATTTCAGTGATCAAAGCCATTAAATAAAAATTGACAGGATCTGGCTCTGCTCCTTAAACTTGAAAAGGATGAAAGAAGTCCATCGAATGCGGAAATCGGAGATGAGGTCGTGAAATAAGTGGTACAGGACGTGCCACGACCTGGTTTCTCCGACGCTATGTGCTACGCTGAGTCAACTAGACAGGAGTTCTGGTTTGCGCCAACTGCTTCGCCTCAGATGTCTTAAAACACCGTTTTACGGCGGTGTAGCTTCGGCTCTAAATGGGGCTGCAGCTTCGCCATTACAAAGCATTTAATCCCATGTGAATATATGCACAACACAGCGCAGAAAATGATGAGCAATATCTTTTTTCCCCTTCAGCGCGTTTTAGCTGGGTAGATTAATCGCTGTGGGACACAGCTTAACAAGGGAAGTGCCCCAAACGCAGGAACAGGAATTTCTTGATGGGCAGGAACTGGATATTGGTTGGCAATAAGTCCACAGTAACAAGATTTAGTCTTGAAACACTCACAAAGAAATTATAAATATTTGATGTTTAGCACAAGACCAAACAATTCAAGAGATAGTCCCATAAATCAGTAGGAGTTGGCAAGTTGTTTTTCTCCACAATCCATTCGGACTGGAGAGGTTTCTCCCGAAGCCATAATACGCAAGATAAGTAACTCACAAGACTTCACGCTAGTTTAAACAGCTTGTCCCAACAAATTGCTTCCAAGTAACAATGAATTTTCAGTAAAAGTGTCAAATGGGTAAGAAAGGGTGCAGTAGGTAACCTTCGTAGTGGCGCCTTCTGAAAATTGGTGATGAAGCTCGGACTTCCAAAAGACGAAGACCTGATTCATCGGCCTCCAAAGGGATCCCCTGCATAACGTTGAAAGGATCAACCTTTTTTTGATTCACCATAGGCATTACCTCTAAAAGTATGCTGTTTCTTACAATCCAGGATGGGGTCTGCCCCTTAGAAGACTTCGAGCGGAGTATTGGAAATACTCCACCTAAGACACGTCCTGCCGCTGGGGGAAAATTTCGGAAGATAACGACTTTCCTCCCAATGCTCTCTTCTATCCAGCCCACTTCCCGAGCTTCCACCACATTCTAGGGAATTTCCCTAAAAATTTCTGCCATCGGGGAGGGGAGTATATGAAACCAAACAAGGGGGAAAACCGTGAGGTCAACAACCGAGGAAAATCTGAGGAAACATACCCCCACCCCGCTAGGGATTCCTCAACACGGGACCTGCCCTGCTCCCACCTCTTCACGGGCCACTAATCGCCTGAAGAACTCACCTATTTTCTTTTCATCCACGTGGGCAAAGCAGAATGTGGGTTCAGTCAGGTCCCTTGTTGATTAAACATTAAAACAGCAGAGAAAGCTATTGGGAAACCAAGGTGACGCAAATAGAGTGGCTTAGGAAAGCCTTCATATGAGAAGGGGTAACTGTAGACTTTTCTTTGTCGGCATCACGATCCTCGCTAGATTACTGGAACGCCATAACGCAGCTCACCTGAATGTTTAGGGTTGACCCCGCGCTCCATTGCCTGGTCTCCATCATGTTGGTTCGCCCGCGGACTACCGTACACCCGAGGTGTGCCACAGCACCCACTGGCCACGCCCACTATTGATCGCTGGGTGCCCCAAGCACCGCCGGCACCACGGATGTGAAAATCGTAAAGGACGCAACAAATTCAGGAAATTAAGGCACCTGAAGTAAGGGAGCAATACTAATTTAGCGCTAGGATCATGGATCTTTAAGGTGGGTAAGAAGGGAAATCGTAGGAATTGTGTCAGATGACAAGCAGTTCGAGTTGATTGGCGTTTCTCCTGTCCCGTCGAAGAGCAAAGTAACGCAGGACATCGTAGGAGCTTTGCCACACCAGTCGCTCTTAAACTGTGCTATGAGTTTAGATAGAGTATAGTCTACGAAAGAGTTGAAAAGCAGGGTAGAGAGAACAGAAGGCTAAGTTGACACCTTAAACACACACGTATACGAAAGACTTGTGTTAAGTGTTGCATCCTGTGTTCTCCATGGGAACACTGTTTCGGCAAGTCTTTTAGCAGAGTGACGATGATCGTCATCTCTTTGGTAGTATATCTACACACGCCCGGCTAGGGGCCAAAAGGAATGTTCGAGAACTCGTAGGGCGCGCTCCCCTCGACTGACGCGTCTGCCCGTCAGCGCCGGCCCCAAACGTCACGCGAGCTGTCTCCGTTCTCGCCGCCTCACACTCTCTCGCTATCGATCTTCCCAACCGGCCGAAGACAACCCTCTCCTCGTCGTCATCAGCACGCCTCTCCCACTTCCCCCTCAAAACTTCAATAAAACTATTAGCACCGAAGGAAGGAAAGCTTTGAAGTGGGCAGAAGACGAGCACAAGAAGTGCCAAGGTGTCATTTGGTCTCGGAAAGAAAGAGCTGAATAACATAAAACTAGGAATAGCAGGCACAGATAACGCCCCAGCCTTACAACTTCCAAATAGGATCTGTATAGGTTAACTGTACAGTAGCATATTGGTGTAGTACCTAGCTAGACCAGTGATGATGAAGATGAAGAAAACGAAGACCGGTAGGAGTGATGATGATCTTCCAGCTCCCACCTGCGGTTACAAGTCCCAGGTCTGGCGTATCACATCGGCTGTGGTGCTACTACGTGCAACCTGCCAATTGCACAGACTGGTCGGTTTCAGCGTTCTCACGCAACCATTTCACTTGTTTCTCGGAGGTTTGGAGGTAGTCGTCGTCGTTTCTTACAATGAAATCACAGGACTGTTGACTGATTCAGTCACAAAAATGGAGAAAATGCCGTCGCTTCCACTCCGCACCGCGGTACTCAATGTAATGAGAAGGCGCGCGCCGTTTGCCGCTGCGTCGCGTACGCGCAGCAGACACGTCGAGGGTGGCCTGCCCCGCAACTACCGTAACCGGTTCCACCGCGTGGCCTTGAGGCACGTCCTAATGAGTGTGGGCAAAAAAGCTTTCGAGAGCTGGAACACGAAATAATGCTGGATGGCGATGTATGGCGGCTTGAATTTGAATTAGTTGACGTCAAAGTATTTCGACAACATGTTAATTGTATCCTTTTTGGAATAATGAGCTGGTTAAATAGCCCAGTATTTTTTGCCGGAATCGATAGATAGTGTAACTATAGTGTAGGGATGATGCATAGCATGTTTATATCGACTATATTGATCGAACAGCTCCTTCAGATGGCGCGTGCGCCCGACTACACGTAGCAGCGTAGCTTCCCACTTGCCATGTTGATCCAACCCAGTGGAAGTTGTTTTTATACTAAGTTTAAAGATAGCCACGTGCTGGAGCAATTTTTAGGTGTCCTTCCTTGTACGAGCAATCTGGCCTTCAGTGTCTATAAGTGCTCCTTTTTCCGGCCCTCGAAAGTGGCAGTCCTGACGCCTTCCCCAGTTGCTCTGCCCACCAGAGCTCCAGGGCTGCTTTCTGCCATGGGTTTAGTTTTACACCGTGTCTTTCCTTTTTTCTTGCAGTGTTAGACGGTATTGGCATTGGATGACGCGAATAAACGATTAGTGAGCCGGAGGCGGCAGGATATCGGTTTGCTGGCACAGAATGAGTAGATCCGGAGTACTCGTCCAACAGGCTACCAGGCTGTCTTCTTCTCTGAATCGCTGAGATGTGGTGGGCGTGGCTGCGCACTTCAACGTGGCGGTGACTGTGTTTTTGATGAGAAATCTTCATTTTAAGGCATCATGTCTCTGCCTTACGCCGAAGAAGATGACAGTTGTCTCAAAGTAAACATCTCACGATTAACATCATCGTAATGCCATGTTCGAATGCAACGCCTATTCTCCATGGGTTTTTTTTTGCTTTTTTTCTCCCGTGGAGAGTGCTATGACGACTATTGGTGAAGCCACTACATAATATGCAATCGCGGGGTTCGCCTTTAACGCCTTGTGCTGAACTTATAATCCCGTATAATACACAGTTCGTGGTGCTCGGAACCGGGCGCAACGGAATCGACGGTAACAGCGATTTCTCCCCTCATTGTTAGTTATTAACCGGCAGTGAAACTATTAGTCAAGCAATTTGGCCATGCTTTATTCTAGACCTTACTGATCAGCTTATGTGATAATAAGGATTATATCTCCACTTTGTAGAGATTTTTCAGGCGTTACACGAATGTATGGCTTCACTATTATATCATTTACCTTTATTAGTTGAGATTCTTCAGTTCATCCGAACCGCATTCAAATTTTAAAAGAGAATTCGTCGCTTTCTCACGAATGCGCTTGGGAAACAGGGTTTGAAGGCACGGTTTCGTATCGCATCACAGAAGCTGCGCTCTTTTTCGAGACAAACCCGGTTCATATGACCTGCTTTATCGCTGTTTTACTGGAGATTTGGGTGCTAGTGTGATGTACTGGTGCGTTTTGGTGCAGTGTCGCGGTAAGTTTTTGGTGCAGTTCAGCACGCGGGGGGGCATTTTGCACTTCCGTTGCTTAATTAGTTCCGGTTTACGGGTCTCACTTTGGAGAACTGTGAACTCTAGCGAAGTGGAGCAAGCTCGTCGAGCTACCATGGTAAAACCTGTTAACTCCTGTAAGCTAATGAGATGGCTTTCTAAATGCGTCGACACGTCGACAATAGCGATTATTCAGTAGGGCGTAAGTGGCTCACAAAAGAATTTAGGCGTGAGGTTGAATGTATTGCGCGATGTCGGATGCGGATTCACACCATATTGGACGCGCTACACCTAAAAAAAAGCGGTCGCAGCCAATTTTGCGGACATGTGCCTTGGCTGATGTAACGGAAGCGCGAACTATTCCAGGGTATATGCACAGTAGGAAGTCGAACTAAAATTATTATTGAGAAAAAAGCGAACCTATTTTCAAGCAAACTGAAATTCTCGTGGCCACTTGCCGATAAGGAGGGCAGTTTTCGTTCTGCTCAGAAACTAAGGTTTCGATAATTTTTTCCTATGCTATATCAAATCATATTCCACTGGGTAATCAAAGCACCAATCGTCCCCTCAATGAGAGGTGCAAATGCGGTGAAGTTGAAAAAATCAGGCTCAAATATTGTGGCTCGAAACGCGAAAGTCATCAGCTAAAAATCATAAAATGGCATTATCCAACTATTACTGCCCCAACTAGTCAAAAAAATTTTTTCGTGAAACCTCGCCCACAGAGGTAGTTCGGTGTCCTGGTCACGAATATAGCACTCGTTTTTGGCGCTGGCGCCGAATTGACGCCAGTTTGGCGCCGCCACCTTTCCCACCAAATTCGGTGTAAATTTGCATAATAGGTTTATTTGATATCCTAGTCACGAATACCGAATTATTTGCATTATTTGAACAATGCACTTCTCAGCCCTGACGACTCTTGGCGCCATTAGGCGCTGATTTAGCGCCCCCTTCTTCATCAAAATTGATAAAACGCACATAATGGGGTTGTTTGATGCCCTGATCACGAATATGACACTCATTCTCCGACGCCAGCGGCCATTTAGCGCTTTTTAAGACTGAGCCTGGGGGAAAGAGTGGTTTTCTCTCAGGTCAAGGCCAGCCATACCGGAGCGCAGATAATCGCAGAGTCTTCCATCAGCGTCAGCGCCAAGAATGAATGTGACATCTGTAATCAAGATGTTAAATGACAAGTTTTCAGCGGATTTAGTGACCTAGGGTATTTTGGTGCCGACGCAAAAATACCCTAGGTCAGGCCAAGTGGATGTGATGTTCGTGTTCAAGAGGTCTAATTACTTCTAGAACCCAACTTTTCAGCTATATCTGCCCTCGTAGGACAAAAGTTGTTTAAGATCCGGCCTGTCTTCCTGAAATTGGGTTTTTTTTTTTTCTCAGAGAGCGCGTCCAATATGGTGTGAGTCCGCAGCCGACTATCGCAATGCATTCAACCTCACGCCTAAATTCTTTTGTGAGCCACTTGCGCCCTACTGAATAATCGTTATTGTGTAGACACGCGCGTCGATTTGGAACTTGCGAAAGTGCAAAGTGCCCTCCCCTTCTCCTCGGTCGCCGAACTGCCCCCGAGCTTTTGCTTAAACCTAGAGGAGGAGGAAATTTCGAAGGTTCTCATCATCTGACTCACAATCTTCAATAGTCAGTGCTTTTTTTATTAAAAAATAATAAAGAAGTAGCATGGAGACGAAGCTCAAAGCTCCATGAAACTGCATGTGCAATTTGCGAATGCTGGCAGTAAACGACGACCCATTACACTTTCGTCGACACCTGCAATTTTACACTAAATTATTTTGCAAGGTGCATTAAACAGTAACTGTGTTCGATTGAACTCGTTTAACTACTCATAATAAGAGATCTTTTTGCACGATTTGAGGACACTCGTGTGCAACAATTCATGGCACATTTTCAGATCTAATAGGAATGTTGTAAATCTGGCGTCCGAAAGATCGGAAAGGTTTATCAGCGGCAAAGATTATCCTTGTGAAGCTTGTTCTATATAAAAATTGCGTCATCTTATGCTATTCTTTTGAGATGGCTGACATACAAGTAGTTTTTGAATGTTTATATGGAATAGGATTAAGATTACATAGACTGAAATTAGGCGGCTGGCGAAAATGGAACCTCATCGAGTGCTCTCCCTCTCGCGAAGTTAGACAGCAATCAGGCAATATGGCGTACTTTTTAATGCAGTCACCATTGGCAACTGTTTGGCGGTCGCCATTTTGGACGTAAGCCGCCTAGAGGCTGCAGGCCTAAACCAAAATGAGAGCCATGCTTTAATCCTGCATGAATTCTAGATATACATGGGAATGAAGTAGTTAGTAGCCCTGCCGTTGCTTTTAGGCTGGCTTCATATTTTCCGTTAGCGTCCGCGAGCGTACGCCAGCGCTAGTGACTAAACTGTAAATAGCCGGTGCACGTCTGCCTACGCTAGATCGATACCTATACTTTCCTAGTCGTGTCGCTGGCACTGCTGGTGCAAAATATGAACGATAACTGTAACTATTTAACTACTATAACTTACTAGGCCCAATCAAACTCTCCATCCCGCGGAGGTCGGCTAGTTGGTTCCACCCTTGACACAGAGAAACACTGACCTTCGAACTGAACGCGCTTGTGAGTCATTGTATAGGTCACTGCTTGGAAGGCACATTTCGCAATTACTCATAAGAATCAAGTTCTGTGAGGGGAAAGATAATGTGGATCGTGATGGGCAACCGCATGCCAGTTTCGAGTCAGAAAGTCGTCAAGGTAGGGGTGATAAGGAGTAATATTACTCAGGTTCCTTTTTTCTCGCGCTCGTCCGAAATACCAATAAATCCTTGCCTTTCGAATGAATAAGCAGGGTCTTATTTGGGGTGTTTTCGATGGTCTCCATTGATCTGTTCCGCATGGGTTCATCAACCAGCTCATACTTTTCAGTTCTTCAGTGCCGCATCTGCCGACGTTTCACAGCCTGAGCCTCTCGGGCTATGATTATGAGTGGAGGTGGAGTGCGTGGCGCTCCACAAAAAAGAATGGGAAACAGCTGTGACGTCGAATGACACTGCAGCTAAAAAGGATTCTGGTGCCAAATACGTGGGCGCTGAATGAAACTAGCACTGTGAACAAATTCTAGTTTGAGCGAAATATTGAATTAATTTCAAAAAATGTTATACTCATGAGCAAATGCCGAAAATGAATTAGTTCCCCTTCGTAAATGTTAAGCAAGCCCTACACTGAGTACAAGGGCTGGAATACATGAACACGTTCATCGTAGGACTAGGAGGAAATGGCACACGGTAGTAAAATGCTCTTGAACCCTCAAACCTATGGGCCATTAATAATACTACCGTCTGTTTCCAGTATTGCAATCAAAGGACGAATGCCCTCATAAAATCCACCATTCCATTGCAAAAACGGAAGCGAAGAAAGGTTCTGAGAATGAGCGTTTTGTTGAAGTGAACATTGATGGAGAAGTTGCCTCGCACTCTGATTCGGATGAAGAACCTGTTTTCGATAGGGTTCGTTTCTTTTGAAACATTTGTATTACATAATGTTAACATCGTTTCCATAAATAATTGCCATCATTTCAGAATTCATTGCTCTCGCCAAACAGGAGTGTGAAAGTTTATCGCAGAAAATCTGAGTCCTATAAATGCATATATCTGATTCTTCTACTGACTTACTTTGTAATTGTAAGTTTGAAGGGGCATCTTCAAGACTGTAGCCCGAAGTGAAATAATAGTTTCATCCTATAAATGCCTTTATTTAACTTCATGCTTTTTGTGCATTTGAGTTTGTGTATTTCAGGGTGCGATATGCTCAATACCGCTGATTATGCAGCGTGCTTCAGCCAAGTTGCACTCAAATTTCCTAGCCATACATACGGTTGGGGTCCTTCTAGGAACTGTAACAGGTAAATTTTTTGTGCGAATAGTATCCTGGTCTGATGACACCAGTACTCATGGTTATCTTGTTGTGCGTCAATAACCGCGAGGGAAGCCTAAGAGTTCGTTCATAGTTTGCGTCAGCGCTCTGAGCATTTCATGTGAGCGACTGAAAAGTATAGGTTCTTATTCCGCTTTTGAGCGTAATATTTGAACGGCTAGGATGGTATAGGTATCGATTGGCGCGAAAGCACAGACGGACACTAACAAGGGAATGGTTTCAAATTCCCATGGAACTTTGAATGGAGACCTAGGTACATCGATAGAGTCCTCGAATGCTGATTACGAATATGCAGATTAAAAGTGCTACGGGGACCTCCCAGACGAGTTCTGGGCGGTCAAAGTTTGCGAAAACTCGGTTTTGGCTCGTAAGCGCTGCTGATCGATCGCTAGGCAGTGCCACCGTGGTCCAAGTGGTCTCGCTTCAAAGGCGAATGCTTCTAGGTTTGCATCCCGTTGGCGCGAAAGTTTTTGCTTCGTCTCCTATAAGAGCTTTTACTCTAATTTTCGAAATTCTTCCGAGTTTACGACCCAGCAGAGCAAGTAGATCAAGTATATGACGTACTCGATCAAGTATGGATTTGGTCACTATCTGCCCTCTCTAAACTCATTACCGACAGATCTTGAAGAAGCCATTTCGAGCGCAGAATGCTTAAAGTTAAGGAAGCGGGTACACTTTAGAGGAAATGTCCCCATATTGATGGGCGAGGCGCCTAAACATGATAAGGAGACGTTTGTTCCTCCTTACTCGACTTTACCTCCAGTTCAACGGAAATTTAGTGGGAGACGCCACATCATAAACATTATTGTACAAGATTCGATGCTTTTGTGAGTATAGTGTGGTGATATTCCCATGTTGAGTTCATAGTAGTCAACTTAAGATGCTACTCGCTGGTCGCGGTGGTTGATTATGATGCTCTAGCGCCGAAACCGCGCCGCGACCGCGCGCTCGCAAAGGCCGGATGCTCAAGTGCGAGTCTGTAGTTTACCGTCACCCATTACCCATCCGACAATTCGAAGTTTTGGCCAGAATCACAATTTGGCCAGAAACTCGTTTCTGGGGTATTTTGACCCCTGAGCACGAATATCACATCCGTTTGACGCGAAAACGATCGGTTCCCTCGTTCAGTTGATGACCACTACAACGTGAAGTGACCAAATCCATACTTGATCGAGTACGTCATATATTTGATCTACTTGATCTACTTGCTCTGCTGGGTCGTAAACTCGGAAGAATTTCGAAAATTAGAGTAAAAGCTCTTATAGGAGACGAAGCAAAAACTTTCGCGCCAACGGGATGCAAACCCACAAGCATTTGCCTTTGAAGCGAGACCGTTACCACTAGGCCACGGTGGCACTGCCTAGCATCGATCAGCAGCGCTTACGAGCCAAAACGCCTGGGAGGTCCCCGTAGCACTTTTAATCTGCATATTCGTAATCAGCATCCGAGACTATCGATGTATCTAGGTCTCCATTCGAAGTTCCATGGGAAACCATTCCCTTGTATGAACGGTGGTGCACGCTAATCACGCTAGATCGATACCTATACTCTCCTAGTCAGTGGAACGCTGGCGGGTACTCTAAACGGTGATCGATACCTCTATTTCGTTAGTCACGGAAACGTTCGAAACGCTGACAGGCTCTCAAAAACTTGCCGCAAAGTGAACGCACTCTAAGGCCGCGTACATACTTCACGACTTCGGGGAGCGGAGAGGGAGAACTCAGTGATAGGAAAGAATGCGCGTCAAGGGATACGACGGGAGTCTGTCGGCTCGGCTCACAAACGAATTGGGTGGATCGTAAACAATACCTACCAAACCTGGTTCCGCTACTTTGCGGATTGAGACATTGTTGCACGTTCGATTTTCTTTTTCTACTTGTCCATTGTAGCAAAGAGTGAACGCGGTCCTGCAGTGGTCCGCGGTGCGGGTTCGACCAAGGGTGCGTTCGTACTTTGTCTCAGTGCTTTCGAACGATAAGTATTGGTGTAGCGTTTTGAGTGTAGGCTAGCGTAAACCAGCGTACGGCAGCATTTTGAGCGTTTCGCGTAGCGTAATTTTTCGCGAGCACACGCTGAAAACGCTATCGTACGCTTGAAACGCTGGTTCAGTGTCTATTCTTTTCTAGTCACTCAGAGCGCTGACGCAAAGTATGAACACACTCCGAGGATCCCGATTTGACAGTGTGGATACTTTTCATTGCGCGCCGAGGCTGTGATGGCCCTACTCATTCTCAGTTGCGCGCCATAGCCCCACCAGTTCAGAGGAACATTTTCAGACACTCTTCATTTACAATTATACACATACCACACACTTATTCGCTCCAACTTAATTTGAAAAAAAAGATGAGAGTGACAAGAAAAATCAGCAGATCTTCTATCTTCCGCGGAGGTTGAAGTGGCGGTTTTCAGGAAGGATTTTTAGTCAACGAGTGAGCATTGCTTTCGTCTCATTTTTCTGCACTATATTGCTTTGTGGTTTCTCATGGAGCGTTTCCGACTTTCAAGAAGTGATTGATGCGAGATTTTCAATTTTCATGTTAGGCTTTGCCTCGGGAAATATCTTGTACGGTTCGTGAGTTGCTCTTATTCTTTTTATTAGTAATACGCGTTTGTATTCCATTTGATTCGAATTATCTTCAGGCTGCGTTTATATTAGGGTGTTTTGTTTGAAAGAAATTTTGAGAATTTTCAACCAGCTCATTCTACATTTATCAACAACGATAAGAGATCGGGAATTCGTACTTATAATAAACACCAGTCGGATCGCCCGGCTGTCGCCGGGCGCTCCTCCTTCTGTGACATGGCCCGGCTTCGCCGGGCCATGCGGATTTGCCGCGTACTAACTAGGGAGGTCGTTCAGGACGTGGAGCGCTTTTTGAAAACGGTTTTTGCATGATGTGGGGTTACGTGCATGGAGTACCAAACTGGTGTTCATTTTTCCTGAACGCCTCTGGGAATGCCAAAAATGGAGTGAAAAAGAAGTCCATGGAAACCGACTGTTTTTGAGCCTGAATGGGCTCTAAATCACTCGCAAGTTCGGCCAGTTGCTGCCTATAGGGTCCTTATAAAGGTTGTACTGGTATCGATGAGAAAAGTGGTCGTCAATGGGGTCTTACTTGTGGCACGTAGTTAAGAGTCGACGGCCAATTCGAATGGGCTCTTAAGCAATCGAAGTGGTACCTGTGCCAACGATCGGATGGCCTAGTGGATAGCGTGGAGGATTCTCAAGCAGACAGTGGGGATGGGGGATGATGGTTCGACTCCCCTCGGCTTGCACGTTTTTGCATTTTTTATTTTCCGTTGTTGTCGCTTCCATATACGTCTGTTAATGAATTTTACTCGGATATCTGCCATTTATAGGCACATCCTAAATAGTTATACCCGTAGTCGGTGCTATTCAGCAATTTCGATTTCACATACCATTAAGCAAGAACTTGTCTGAAAGTTGAGCTTTATATGTTATTCGGTGCCCTGATCATGACTATGGCATTTACTTTCAGCTCTAGTGCCATTTATCTCCAATTTGGAGCCACGTCTTTCTCCCACTGGAGTCGCTATGTACATTCGTTTGAGGGACTTGCAGGGCCATTCTGACGCCAGATTGGGTTGACGTCAAGAATAAGTGTCAGAATCGTGATCAGGACCATCGATTACCCCTATAGGCAAACTTTCAGCCAAAAAATTTTTGACTTTTTTGAGTCTGTGCATTGGGTTATGCTCAAGAGTCACTTTGTTGAAGTCGTACTTTTGCTGGTTATCGAAACCCTCATTCAGTGGTACGGAAACAAAAAACTAGCAACAACCATAAACGCCATCGAAAAAAAGAACAAAATAGTCATCATTCCTCCAGGTGCATTTGATGAAGAAATCGGATGAGTCTCTCCTCTTGGTAGGGGAGGACGACATCTTCGTTGAGCGAGCCGTCGCGGGGGTCGACAAATGTCCAGGATGGTTTTTCACTTGTTCTGCGGCCACCCATGCCCATGCCAAGTATGAATGGACCTTATGAGCACCAAATCCGCGATGCGGCTGCCCGGCGGCCCACCACGTCATCGCTACGTCATCGCAGCTCCAAAGTTGTGGGTCTCCGGTCATCACTGTCGACCAAATGGTCGGTCTATCACAACTCAAAAAAAGTCAAAAAAAATTTTGGCCGAAAGTTTGCCTATAGGGGTAATCGATGGTCCTGATCACGATTCTGACACTTATTCTTGACGTCAACCCAATCTGGCGTCAGAATGGCCCTGCAAGTCCCTCAAACGAATGTACATAGCGACTCCAGTGGGAGAAAGACTTGGCTCCAAATTGGGGACTACGTGCCACAAGTAGGACCCCATTGGCGACTACTTTTCTCATCGATACCAGTACCTTTATAAGGACCCTATAGGCAGCAACTGGCCGAAGTTGCGAGTGATTTAGAGCCCATTCAGGCTCAAAAACAGTCGGTTTCCATGGACTTCTTTTTCACTCCATTTTTGGCATTCCCAGAGGCGTTCAGGAAAAATGAACACCAGTTTGGTACTCCATGCACGTAACCCCACATCATGCAAAAACCGTTTTCAAAAAGCGCTCCACGTCCTGAACGACCTCCCTAGTTAAGGCTTAAGGATCGTTGACCAACCACACTGTTCAAAGGAATCTTCTGCATCAGCCAAGAACTGAAAAGCAGCGCTTGTTCCGTCAAGGCGCAGAAGCAGCAGCAGCGCCCCCCCCCCCGCCATCACAGAAGGAGGAGGATAAGCGGCTTAGCCAGCAATCGACTGGTACGTTCATAACCTACACGGAAATAGTGCAGCCTGTTTGGACAGCCACTGAAGCAGCCTATAATTTATGCAATCTGTCTTCCTAAAGCGTCTTGCTTTGGAATGCACTACCGCATTCAGCAGTGGAACCCTTTAAATGGCCCTCACTGAAGTTGCTGATGGAAGATAATTGTGGTAAGAGTGATAAAGTCAGTTGCTGCTGTTCATAACATCTCTGTAAACAAACCACATGCATTTGGAATAGAGCTGGCTTAGCGGTCGTACACGATGTCGTTACTA